CTTAATCAATTAGGAACTAATCTATCGAGCTTCTCATGTTACCTTAATTATAAGGACAAGCGGAGTGTTTGGCGCGTGTCGACACTCACGGCCAGTCTAAAATCTATTAAGAAAATGTTTTTATACAAGTCAATGATACATGATTTGATAAAGAACTAGTTATACTCATCACTAGAATTTATTTATTATTGTTTAAGTTCTCAATTTATTTTGCATATTTAGGCTGTTTATAAATCATCCAACCCCCCCCCCCCCCTTTTATATATTGTTTTAATGTTAATGAATTTGCATGCGTTTACGTCTTGGACTTACGGTTAACACCGAGTCCCTGAGGAGACGACCCTACTTATCGCTATCACAAGTTGTGTTTTAGAGGTAATAGACTTATTTTTATAAATTTTATTATTTGCCGGACTCGACACCCGTTACACGTACGCTATTCATATACACATCTTTTCAATCTATTCATATCTTTATATAATTCATTCGTATATATGTTCAGTAACTATAAACATATATATGTAAATTGAGAAAATTAATTGAATGTGATACACGTAAAGAGTATGGATAAGTTGTATCAAATGATTGATATAAAAAAGAAATTATGAGTAGAAAAATAATATATTCAAGGTTAGAAAATTATTTTAATGTACCAAAGTATCAACTCGATCAACCCGTACAGTTTGGGTTAGGTTGGGTTGCACTTTCGTTTGGGTTGAGCTGGGTTGTTTAAAAAATACATTTTTATTTTAATATGATAATGGTGTAAAAATAAATGATGTATCATAAACTAAATAAATAACTATAAAAATATAAATCGTAAATATTAAAAATATTTTTTCATAGTATATATAATATATAATAATATAATTAAGTCAAAATCTATTCAATATTGGACTCATTTCGAAAGTATTAATGAGACGATTATAATGGTGTAACTTGTTAAAATAAAAATGTATTTTTTAAACATGTTTTAATTGATATACGATTATGTATGTTAATTTGATAAAAATGTAAAATGAAAATTTTAAAAGTAAAGAGCATAAAGTAAATAAATTAACTAATTATAGGGGTATAAGTATAAATTTAAAATTATAATTTTAAAAAATTAGGTTGAATGTGAGAGAGTGAATATGTGAGGGGATGGGTATGTGAGGAGAAGGGGGTGTAGAGTGACGTAAGGGGGGTGGGTTTATCAACCCCTTATAATTTAAAAAAAATCGGTTGTGAGAGGGTGAGTGTATGTAAGGGGGTGAGTGTATGTGAGGAGAGGAGAGGGTGAAAAAGTGAAAAAGTGATATAAAGAGTATTTTGGTCATTTAGTATTTTAAGACTTTAAGACTTTTGTTAAATTTGTTTTATAAGATAGTATAGATAAAAAATTAGGTTGAATGTGAGAGAGTGAATATGTGAGGGGATGGGTTAGTGAGGAGAAGGGGTTGTAAAGTGACGTAAGGGGGTGGGTTTATCAACCCCTTATAATTAAAAAAAAAACGGTTGTGAGAGGGTAAGTGTATGTAAGGGAGTGAGTGTATGTGAGGAGAGGAGGGGGTGAAAAAAATGATATAATGGGTATTTCAGTCATTTAGTATTTTAAGACTTTAAGACTTTTGTTAAATTTGTTTTATAAGATAGTATAGATTCTAACATTTTTGGTTAAAATCTTTGGAAGTATAAAATGACATATATAGTTTTTAAAACAATGATTTTGTTTCATTAATATTAGGATATACATGATCTTGTTGCCTCGGTTATAGATTTGATGTTTTACATTTTTGCCTTTTTTTCAATTAAAAAATAAACTTTTATTTTATTTTATTTTATTTTTTTATTTCCTAATATACATTAATCTAATATTGACATTGATCAAAAGAAATGTATGGATGAAATTGATTTGTAAGGTTTTCACAAATGAGGGTGGTTTTCATTTGATCCCTCTATATATATATATATATATATATATATATATAKAGAGAGAGAGAGAGAGAGAGAGAGAGAGAGAGGCGAGTTACATTACAAACTGTCCAATTCATGAAAACTATGCAAACCACTTTTGATAAATAGGAAAATTTTGTTTTTTTTCTTTAATTTTAATAGGTAAGGATATAATAGTCATTTGATTGTATATTGATTAATAATGGAAGGTAATAACTACTCTTAATTATAGAAACGTAATAATATAAATATTTAATATATAAAGTGGTAAATCATTTTTTCTTAATATAAATTTTTTACCATTAATATTTTATTTTATTTTATTAAATTATACTTATTAAAATATCAATTGTAAAAACAGTAGAATTAGAAATCTGATTTTGGTTTATTGAAAAAATATATGTAGTTTGAGTAATGAAACAAATGTCATGTTCAATAGTGACATTGAACACTGTTTCACTGATGAATTTAATTTATTAATATTTCGAAACGTTTTATGCATGAAAAACGTTCATTAAACTAAAAAAATATTCCGTTTTCAAAACGTTTCATTAAATTTTAAAAAATGTTTCATTCTTTATATGTTTCGTCGTTTATTAGGATATCCTTGTGTTAAAATTATTTTGATTAGAAATTATTAATATTCCAATACTACTTCAATAACCATTAATGAAAATAGTTTGCAAGTATCGATGATCACAACTACATGACAATCGTCTATTTTTCATAGTAGGTGACAAGGAGTCATGTGAGTTTGTTCCCTAAACGGTGAAACAATTTCATTTATTCATTTAATGAAACAATTCGTTTTCGAAACGGTGAAACAATTTCATTCATTTATTTAATGAAACAAAATCATTGCTTTCGTATTTAAAAGGCTTTATTATTTTTTGTTGATTAAAGTATGTTTTATGTTTCATAATTTATTATGATATATCTATTTTCATTGGTCCTTACTAAGATCTATTTTTAAGATGGATGTTATTTTGTTTATGATATCTAGACATAAAATGAAGATAATTTTTATCAAACATATAATTTTTCAGATTATTTTAACAATTTTGGTTAGAATTTTTGTAATTAAAAAATGATATATAGAGTTTTTAAAATAATGATTTTGTTTCGTTAAAGAAAATATTGTTGATTTGACAAATTTATTTCATTAAGGAAACTATTGTAGATTTTGTTCATTAAATAATATTTGAATAAAGGAAACTATCGATGAATATGCTTGTAATCATATTGTCGATTTAACAAATTTGTTCTTTTTTTTAATTAAAAATCAAACTTTTATTTTCTTTTTTATTTTTTAATATAAGCTTATTTAATCCTGACCATTGATAAGAAAATAGATGGATGAAATTGATTCGTAAGATTTTGAAATATAAGAATAGTTTCCAATTGATTCTCTCTCTCTATATGTATATTTATTAAACGAAAATCATGCATGAATGAATTCCATATATATAATAATAACATGATAATGGAGTGGAGATTGTATAGGCATGAGATGAGTGGAGCAGTTGCCAAATTTTATTTAATTTGTAAAATTAAGAAAAAACCCAATCGCACATGAATTCCTAATCATCTCTTTATATATATATATATATATATATATATATATATATATATATATATATATATATATATATATACTTCAACCGGAAGCAGTTTTCACTTCCATATTTCTCGCACTCATCTCTATCTCTCTCTCTCTCTCTCTATATATATATATGCACATATATTCTTAGATCAGAATTTTTACAAGAAGATAATTAAATTGATGGAAGGTGGTAGTGATATCACCGGTGGTGGTGGTGGTTTATACGAAGAAGACGACGACAACATCATCCTATCTCCTCCGCCACACCAACCTTCTTCATGGAGACTCAACATCAATCACTTCCATCTCCCACAGACATCCTCTTATTCCAATCCCACTTCTAAATCTACTTCCACTTTCCGCCGCCTCTTTCGCCCTACTCCAAGTAACTATTACTTCTCCCATCTATCTATCTATCTATCTATCTCTCTCTCTATCTATATATATATATATATATATATCACTTCAAGATTCATATCATGAATTGAATATTTCACCCCGATTATAAAAGATGAATTTATTTAAGGCTTTTGTGTTCATCAAAGTTTCAATTTTTACACAACTCGTGTGTGTGTGGGTGTATATATATATATATGACTTGTAACTACAATTGTTGTGCATATATATATATATACACACTACATGTAAATAACGTTGATGTTAAGTAGACATGCAACAAAATTAGTTCAAATTTATGATAATTATAAATTTCATGGCAAGAGTAAAATTAATTAATTAATGTGAGAGTTGTTATTGGTTGGATCAGGAAAACATGGAAAGGTTCAAGAGTATTACAAGAAACAGAAACGACTCCTTGAAGGGTTCAATGAGATGGAAACAATGAATGAATCAGGGTGTTTACCAGGAAGTTTAACAGAGGTTAATTTGATTGATGTTGTTGATAGAATGTATACACAGTTGAAAGCATGCCTGCAGGTGGATGGATGGATGAAACTATATATGTTTGTTTGTTTGTTGCGTGCAGGATGAAATGGATAATCTGGCTAAGAATGAGAAAAGGGCCATCTATGTCTCAAACATGGCTAACTTGGTCCTTTTCATAGCAAAAGTTTATGCTTCTATCGAAAGCAGATCTCTAGCTGTCATTGCATCAACCTTGGATTCACTCTTGGACTTGTTATCTGGATTTATTTTATGGTTTACTTCACATGCCATGAGAAACCCCAATCAATATCACTATCCAATTGGAAAGAACAGGATGCAGCCTGTTGTAAGCTCTTCCATCACTACATCAACCCTCTCCTTTGGTGAGTCATGATCAATATGATCTTTTATTTACCGAGATCCTGTTGTCTTGCACTTGCAGGGCATTATTGTTTTTGCTTCAGTAATGGCAACTCTTGGGTTCCAGATTTTGCTAGAGTCTGCCAGACAGCTTATTGCCAAGGTAGGCATTTAAATTTTCTTTCAATATTTGCTTACCACAACTTATATCCCAACTTCCTTCTTAATTTCACCTTCTTATATATTGGTAATCATTATTTGATCTATAATGAAGCCAAGCATATATAGTATAGGGGCTATATATATATGCTTCTTTTGTAACAATTTATATTATATGAGTTGTTTAAGTCCTCGATCAATCATTCGATTTTTGTTTAATATACATTTGGAATTGTCTGCAGACTCGTCCCGACATGAATCATGATAATGAAAATTGGGTGATTGGCATCATGGCTAGTGTGACGGTGGTGAAGTTTATGCTCATGATCTATTGTCGAAGATTTAAAAATGAAATCGTGAGGGCCTATGCCCAAGACCATCTCTTTGATGTTGTAACCAATTCTGTTGGATTAGCTTCGACTATTTTAGCTGTTCGATATGAGTGGTGGATTGATCCTGTGGGGGCTATAATTGTGAGTATATATATATATATACATAACGTAGTAATTAACATGTCTTGTTTAAGTACATATTAATTATCCTATATGTATATAGTCTTTGAAAATATTAACTATTAGTGTTGTATATGTATGCAGATAGCCGTCTATACAATATGTACATGGGCTCGGACAGTTATTGAGAACGTGTGGTCATTAATAGGAAGAACGGCTCCACCAGATTTTCTAGCAAAGTTGACATATCTGGTATGGAACCACCACGAGGAAATAAAGCATATTGACACGGTGAGAGCATACACATTTGGTTCTCATTATTTTGTGGAGGTAGACATTGTATTGCCAGAGGATATGTTGCTGAATCAAGCTCATAATATTGGTGAAATGCTCCAAGAAAAGCTTGAACAGTTGCCTCAAGTTGAGCGAGCCTTTGTTCATATTGACTTTGAGTTCAGTCACAGACCTGAACACAAAGCCAAGGTTTGATCATTTGTACCTAACATTTATCTGCAACACCCTTTTAGTTTTGTTTTAAGAAACAAATGAAAACTATAAACAACTTGTTCATCAATAATTATTTTCGAGTTATTTTTGACTTTATGCGTGTCTCTATTAATTATATTACACTGATGCTGAAATCATGTTATATATAGTTGAGTTTACATTATTATTGTTAGTTTTAATTTGTTGTTGATTATGTATATGTGATTGTGCTTCTATCGATGGAATACACACATTTGTGGATCATGTACTCTGTTTCATATATGGAGTTGTTTTACGGACTGTGATTTGTCTAGTGGCATTGGGACTCAAGGTCGTTTAATAACGAATCCCAACAAGTGGAATTAGGATGCATATAATTGTATTGTGTTGTATTGGATCTGTTATTTAATTTTTGGCTGATCGGTATCGGTTGACTATGTTTTTGCATACATAAATTAAGGGTTGGTATGCCTTAAATTCTTTTGTGGAGTATAAACATATGCATTTATCCAATATTGTTACATTCACTATCTACTTGAGAAAACTCCATCCAGCCTCTTCATGTGTGGCGGATCCAGAAATTCTATAGATCGCGGTCACTTAATTAAACTAACAAGTATCAATGCATCATATCATTATAATTAATAATAAGTGATTACCATAAGTTGATTTCTACGAGTTTCATCATCTGAAAATGAGTCATTACATCTTGATTTGTAACCTTAACAAGTACTTCTTTTTCTACGACACAAATGACACAAGCATCCAAAAAATCGTCACAAATTTGATTGCGCAAAGTTGGATTCATATGCTTCATTACAGAAAAACATCTCTCGACTGTTGCGGTTGCAATAGGCAAAACCAATGCAAGCTTCAATAATCGATAAACCAAAGGAAACACAAGAC